GAGGGGGTGGGTGGGGTGGGGTGGGGTGGGTGCAAAGTCTCCAAAGCTGGTCTTCAGTTTGTCCAGGAAATCAAAATCGATGGCATCTATAAACGTCAGATTTCACAAACTCCTCCCCCTTTTTCAAAACACCCCGCCCACTAGCATTCTGCCGTTTACAGGTTCAAAGTTCCACGAGAGTTTTAAAGCACACATACATACAGACGCAACTTCCCCAGAGAGGGTCACAAACACAAAAACATTATTGCAGATTAAGTGTGCTTTCTTCGATTTTTTTGTCCTTAAATGATTTAAAAACGATACTATTACAACATGCAAGCAAGTCATCATAAAAAAAGAGAACAATCGAACATTTAACGCCCTGTTTTTGAAACAAGGACAGACGTTGCCCGATAAATATACACTTTTATAAATGCACCCTGGCTGAGAGGGAATTTTATGTTGGCTTGTTCAGAATAGGAAGAGGAGGCAGGGATCATGTTGGAAGTACTGAATAAATCATCAGATTTTTCAAATCTACTTTTCTTTCTTTGCTTTTTGCAAACAGAGCAAATTTGACTCTTGTTGATAGACATGCACCTCGGACCTTCTTAATAAAGGGATCTATCTATGCATGAAAACGGTTTGCAGCATTAAGACTTCCCTAAAAGTATATGACTGATATTCTAGAATTTTCCAGATTCAATACAAGTGAAGTTGATCACCACCAAAAAAAATAAATAAATAATAATAATAATTTGTACTTGTCCTCTGTTTTCTTTATAAAAATAAAAAAGCAAACATTTGCAAGAATGATGAGGCATATATTATGGAAGTGAATGGGGCCAATTTTCGGAGAATTGTGAAAAATGTATGTAAGTGCTTTTATGTAAGCTTTTATACGCTTCTAATGTTGTAAAAGCACTTACATTCTTTTTTTCTGTTAAAATGTATGTTAAAATGGCTATTTTCATTTTTATGGTTGTTTTAGGCTGATGTTGTCATGGCAACAAAGTTTCAAAATTGGGCTTTCACAAAAAAGGTCAGTAACTGTTTTTTCATTCTAAAATCATGTTAACACTCATACTGTTTGTGTTTTCTGGCTATATTTTTTAAACAGTGAGTATTTTAATACAGTTTGACCTCATTCACTTCCATTGTAAGTGCCTCACTAGCTACATTTAAATGCACTCAAGTTAAAATCGGACAGAAGGCTTAATCAGACTGAAAAGTCTTCATGTAAACAACTCAATCAATCTGACTGAGCTCGATCCGAATGAAATTTCAGTCATATTGAAATGACATTATCGCAGTGGCTTTCTCATACGCAGCAACTGAGCCCCACATATGCACTGAATTTTAGTTTGGAATGTATATAATGCACATGTAAACAAATATGTGAATTGGATTGTAACGTTTAAGGTTCATATAAACAGATCTTTCAGAATCTGAATTCGGGTAGATCATTTCGAGTGACGAAATTAAGTGCTTGTAAACTGTAGAGGTCTGGGTGGGATGGATTGTTCAATTCTGCTCCCACAGAAATATGTTATATTTTGTCCTGTTCACGCCTACAGCTTTCACGTTTTGTCCCGCTCGTGTCCGCAAATGCCTGCAATAAGAGGTCTACACACAGATTTTTCAGTCTCGTTCCAGTGTCATAGCCTATTTTTTTCTCTCCACACACAGCGCTTTAGATCTCAAGTGCTTGTTGCAACTGTCGCAGCAGGTAAAAAAAATGTACGCTGTTGCATACAATGAAAAACACTGAAAATGTCCAAACCTGCACCTGTAAATCATTTATTTTTTGTTGTTCCTGTTAAAAACTTAAAGAAAATACGGATTAACTAGATAATTATGTTTTGCCCCACTAGTTACTTTTTTCTCCTGCTTCTTATGCACATATCTATGGAAGCATATTTCTGCATATATTAATATTTTAATCTCGGTAGAGGTTGGGATCTTCAGGACCCAATGCAACAGAGTTTTGAATGCTGAGAGCAGGTGTGGGCGCGACGATACTGATATTTATGGAATCTTATTGCTGCCACGGAATTTATATCTCACAATTCAGACTTTTTCGAGTCAGAATTGTGGGACAGTTGCAAGACAGAACTGCAAGATATAAACTCAGAATCGTGAGATATATACTCAAAATTCTGCGAAAATGTCTGAATTGTGAAATATATAGTCGCAGTTACCTTATATATATAGATATATAGATAGATATAGATATATACATATATATATATATATATATATGTCCTGTTCCCTTAGCAGAAAAACAGCCCCTAAGCATAATGTTTCCACCTCCGTGCTTGACTGTAGGGATGGTGTTCTTGAGGTCATAGTCAGCATTTCTCTCCCTCCAAACACGGCGAGTCGAGTTAATGCCAAAGAGCTCAATTTTGGTCTCATCTGACCACAGCCCTTTCTCCCAAGCCTTCTCTGAATCATTTAGATGTTCTTTGGCAAACTTTAAACGGGCCTGTACATGTGCCTTCTTGAGCAGGCTGATCTACAATCTTGTCTCTGACATGCTTTGACACCTCTTTGGTCTTGCCCATGGTGGTGGGGGAGGTTGGAATTGAAGATACAGATTGTGTGGACATGTGTCTTATACACCTAACGAGCTGACATGAGGAGTAACGTCTTAAAGTGGCAGGACTAATCTGTGTTCCACATGGGCACATAACCAATCTGTGGGAGCCAGAATTCTTGCTGGTTGGTAGGGGGTTCAAATTCTTATTTCACTCACGGAAATGCAAATCAATTTCTAACCTTTACATAATGTGTTTTTTCTGGATTTTTTGGTTGATATTCTGTCTCTATCCGTTAAAATAAACCTACCATAAAACTTTTATACAGACCCTTCATTTCTTTGTAAGTGGGCAACTTACAAAATCAGTAGGGGATCAAATAAATATTTTTCCCCACTGTATGTGTGTATATATATATATATATATATTTTTTTTTTTTTTTTTTTTTTTTTTTTTTTGTTGGGGGCAAAAATTTTTTTTCGTGGCGGCAATAAGATTGTGTTGGGTCCCGCAGATCCCAACCTTTCCCTCACTGTAACTACGAGTTTTGGATTTTTTAAAGAAAATAACTGACAAGTTTTGTGGTAATCAACATTACTCCACAAGTGTTGTAGATTAACTTGTATCAAACCAGGGGTATTCCTTTTAATACAGATTTGTGTTGCAAGAACTAAAAAGTTGTACCTTCAAGGGATATTAATTATTGAAGAATTCATTCATCTCTACAACAGAAGTCTAATTACAGCTAGAATAAGGCCAAACTGAATGACTAAACATGATCTCATTACGTGCTGGTGTCTGCTCCTGAAGAATATACTGCTAAGAATCAATGGCACACTGATACCATCTCTCACCAGAGCTAAACCAACCAAAAGCTGTGGTGAGATCATGTGGCACTTGTCTCAACTGCAGTTGGTGCGTCATCTAATGTCACAGAGACTCCTCCCACTGACACGCCCCCCTTAGACTCGTGCAAAATGTCTCCTCAGCAACAAACCGTTTGGCACTACTTGTTTAACCACCATAAGATCAAGCCAGGCAAGAAGAAGACCTCTCTGATCCATGAAGGAAACAACTCTTTGGGGGACTGTTAAGGAAAGGTCTGCTCAAGTCCCAATTGACATACAAAAATGTTAGTCGCACCCTACGTTTTCCTTGCAGTCACCATACAGGCAATGGGCAGATGAAACATGTTCTCTTCTGGTGGATGTTGGGGGAGTCTCTTTGGATCTGTGGTGATGGGATAGAGTAGGATGAGACTGCTAGGGTGAAGTAGGGCACGGAGATTAGGTTAGTGTGATGTAGGCGGATGCTTTTTCCTTTAGCTGGCGCAGACACAGATGGCAACTCCAGCTCCCTGCAAAGGAAGAGCCACAAATGTTGTATTTTTCTTATCACATTATCAAATAGTGTTATGTTGTTTTAAGTACAAACCTCGGTAAAATAGGCTAGATTTATGCTTAAAAACACAAAAATATTTTTACTGTATTTGAAAGAAAAATTATATATATATATATATATATACACACACACTTTTTAACACATGATTTTGTCACTCCAGATAACTTCTTACAATACCAGGTTATGGCTTTTGGGCTACGAAATGCCCCCGCAACTTTTCAACGCCTGGTAAATATTGTTTTGTCCGGAATTCCGAATTGTAATGCATACTTGGATGACCTAGTAATCTATTCACCTGACTGGTTTGAGCATTTGACTGTTCTTCGGACAGTTTTTGAATGATTAGCTAATGCTTCCTGAACAATCAATCTGGCTAAGTGTGAATTTGGTAAAGCCACAGTCACTTATTTGGGCAAACAGGTAGGTCAAGGTCAAGTTTGTCCTGTTAGTGCCAAAGTATCGGCTATTGTTGACTTCCCTGTCCCTACGACAAGACGAGAGTTGCGTCGGTTTTTGGGAATGGCAGGGTACTACAGAAGTTTTTGTCTAAATTTTTCAACTGTAGTACATTCCCTGACCAGTCTGCTGAGTCCAGCAAAGACCTTCATCTGGACCGAGGCGTGTCAATGTGCCTTTGAAAGCGTAAAGCTGTTACTGACTAATACGCCTGTTCTTGCTACCCCCGACTTTTCACGGGCATTTAAAATAGAGGTGGATGCTAGTGATTTAGGCACTGGGGTCGTTCTTATTCAAGAAGATGAGGCTGGATTTGATCATCCAATTTGTTACTTCTCTCGGAAATTCAATCGTCATCAGAAAAATTATTCCACTAATGAGAAGGACGCATTAGGTCTGATTTTGGCATTTCAGTTTTTTGAGGTTTATGTGGGTTCATCTGTTTTGCCTGTCACTGTATACACCGACCACAACCCCTTGGTGTTTTTGTCCAGAATGTACAATCATAACCAGCGTCTTATGCGTTGGTCGTTGATTGTACAGAATTATAACTTAACCATAAAGCATAAAAAAGGTTCGGAAAATATTATTGCAGATACTTTATCTAGAATTTAAGTCTGCTTTATGTTAAGTTTTAAGGGGGTGCATGTTACGTACACTGTGCTATGTAAGCTTGCTTATGTATATGTTATTGTATGGGTGCGTTCGTATGTATGCTTTGTTTGTTCCAGATGCGAAGCTCATTGGCGGATCTGCCTGTCACTCTGCTGACGTTGGACGCTGACGTCAGTGATTGCGCCACCAATGGTCTGCGGCCGCGCAGTTTATTTAAAGTTCACTAATGTATGACTGGGTGATGTTACGGCTCTGTGAGGACGGTTCTCTCTCTTGCGAGAAGACCAGTCTGAGAGTCTGTTGTTGGCTAGCGTTACGGTTCTGTTTTTCTTGCCGTAGTATCAGTGATTTGCTTGTTGTTGATTATGACTTTGATGTGCGTGTTGCACTTGTCTGATGTTATCCGATCAAGGTGTCGGTTGTGAAACTCCTGTCTAGTCACTGATGAGAGTTGTGCGAATTGTATTGGAGAGGTTGTGAGTAAGGTAAGCATGTCGCGACATACATTCACATGTAGGTTTTCACTACTGTATTAGACACATCAGGTTAGTGCGAGAGGTGCTCATTTTGTATGTTTTTGTTTGGTTAGTTAGAGTAAGGTTAGGAATGGCGTCTTGTACGCTGAAGATGTTTGTTTCTACATTTTCTGTTGATAGATAGTTATGTTTTGGTTAACCTTAGTTATTGGGAGTTTTGCTTTTGTTTAGTTTCTTGATTTAAGCATCTCTCTCGCTCCTTCCTCTCCTCCAACCTACTCCCGACTGTCATTCATTGATTGTACATATTGTAAATATTTACTTTAATACTTTACTCTCTTTCTCTCAAGCACTTTACAAGAGAATTAAACATTGTGGCGGAATTATTAGTTTTGTGGCTGGTTCTCTTCTTTGTGCAGCTCCTTCCCATTTTTGATATGCACACACTTAAATTTTTGTATGTTTTGGTCGTTGATTGTACAGAACTATAACTTAACCATAAAGCATAAAAAGGGTTCAGAAAATATTATTGCAGATACTTTATCTAGAGTTTAAGTCTGCTTTATGTTAAGTTTTAAGGGGGTGCATGTTACGTACACTGTGCTATGTAAGCTTGCTTATGTATATGTTATTGTATGTGTGCGTTTGTATGTATGATTAGTCTGTTCCAGATGCGAAGCTCATTGGCAGATCTGCCTGTCACTCTGCTGACGTTGGACGCTGACGTCTGTGATTGCGCCACCAATAGTCTGCGGCCGCGCAGTTTATTTAAAGTTCACTAATGTTAATGGCGAATAGGCTGGACTGGGTGATGTTACGGCTCTGTGAGGACGGTTCTCTCTCTTGCGAGATGACCAGTCTGAGAGTCTGTTTTTTGTTGGCGTTACGGTTCTGTTTTTCTTGCAGTAGTATTAGTGATTTGCTTGTTGTTGATTATGACTTTGATGTGCGTGTTGCACTTGTCTGATGTTGTCCGATCAAGGTGCCTACTGTATTAGACACACCAGGCTAATGCGAGAGGTGCTCATTTTGTATGTTTTTGTTTGATTAGTTAGAGTAAGGTTAGGCATGGCGTCTTGTACGCTGAAGATGTTTGTTTCTACATTTTCTGTTGATAGATAGTTATGGTTTGGTTAACCTTAGTTATTGGGAGTTTTGTTTTTGTTTAGTTTTTTGATTTAAGCATCTCTCTCGCTCCTTCCTCTCCTCCAACCTGCTCCCGACTGTCATTCATTGATTGTACATATTGTAAATATTTACTTTAATACTTCACTCTCTCTCAAGCACTTTAAAAGATAATTAAATATCGTGACTAAATTATGAATTTTGTGGCCGGTTTTCTTTCTTGTGCAGCTCCTTCCCATCTTGATATACACACACCTAAAATTTTGTATGTTATATCTAACAATGTTCCTAGACGAACCATAGCTGATTGATGAGGGACGTAACATATAATTGGTGTTATATATTAGTGCTGTGTCAATCGATTAAAAAAATTAACAAATTAATCGCATATTTTTCTGAAATTAATCGTGATTAATCATAATTAATCCCACGGTCCCACCTAACATTTAAGTTTTTAAATATACTTTTATATTGCAATAATTTCACATTCATCTTCATATTAATATATATAATCTTCAAATTAATGTAGAAACAACATAAAGACAGTATATTTTTAATATTTGTTTAATGACATTTTTTTATGACTGAAGGCGAGAATCACTGTTACCAATACTACTGATGTCTCTATAGGAAATTGTTTTTTTCCCCCAAATATTTAATGATTGACTATAGTCATTCAACATTACAGTATAATTGAGAGCTATCAGTTTTAACATTTATTAGACTTTCAAAAATAACTTTTGTCACATAAACCCATTATAATAAATGTCATATTTAGCTACTTGTGCCCTTCTGAAAGTAGAAAATTAATATATATATATATTGATATAAAGTTATTGATAAAGTTATTAAACACTAAATTCTAAATTAAATATAGATGAATCCATAAAGCTTACAAAACTTATTGATTTTCACTTTTTTCTTTTATTAACAGACATCACAGCAGCTGGGTTATTCGGTTATTTTGTCTGCTTTAAGAGCTTCTGCTGCTGAACATGATGGGGATCTGACACGCATCATAGTTTCTCACAACTCTTTACCTTTTCTGACCCACTTCACCTCTTGAATGAGGTGTTATAGATGAGGGAGACAGTGCTGGGTTGCTCCAGGACAGTTTTGAAAACCACTGCATTTCAAAGACATGTTCTTAAATGTGACTCATATATAACAAATGCTTACATGCCCAGTTTTAAGGCAGCTTTAATCGCCTTTTTGGTAACTTCATGCCTTAACTGACGACCTAACTTTGACATTGCATGCTCGTAGTTTGTATTGCACTTTAATATTAAATGATACAGGCTACAGTTCGCGCAGCCGCATTTGTGCGTGCAATTGAAGAGCACTTGCTACGAGCACAGCATAATGGCTGACAGGACAGGAAAATTCGTTTTTACTGACATATGGCCTGACAACTATCTATCTATTTTCTTAATATTATATATGTATGTATACTTGTGAGTGTGTGTGTATACTTATACATTTATTTGATATTATATGAATTTATATGAAAAATAAATATTTATATATTTATATGAATATAAATGAAAGTAACTCTTTTATGCATTTTTACAAGTACAAAAATAGTGATTAAGAATATGATTCTTCTTATTATTATTTTATTTTTAAACACATCAATGTAAAACACATAGCACATACCCTCCGGAGGCTCCGACATAGGGGGGCTTAGACAATACATGTGATACCCTCTGTCACAATCATCACAGAATAAAAGCTGATCCTGTAAAAATAATGCAAGTTGATCCTTGTATGGACATGTCCCCAAACACCAGTGCTGGGGCCTTGGATTAAACCGTTCAGAAACACAACAAAGATTGCACTGGAAAAGTAAGTTGCTTGGTTCAGTTGACTTACATCGTTCTCTGATGTTCCGCACAGGCTGCAGGACTTGCACTCGATGCACTGCCAGCGGTAGGTCCTCACCGCCGCCGTCATGTTGACCGTGAACTGCAGGCACGACGGATGACCTGCAAGAGCCCAAAAAGAAGGTAATATGTTGAGAAAATTAATAAATCCCATTTCCGTGCGGAGCTTACATGGGCTTGGTCGCACCTGATCGGCCGCAGTCCGCACAGGAAATTAGATCTTCAGGACAGCCTGTTTTCTTAGAGCCTCCTAGACAGAAGTCACAGTAGCCGTTCGGGATGACAGAACCATCGGCTGCTTTTTTGGCTGCAAACAGAAGAGAAAGGTGCAAAAATGTTATGGAAATGCAGTTAAGAAATATGTTATTATTAATTAATGTGTTACATATCAAAGACTAACAATGGAAACATTTTTTACAGCATTTATTAATCTAGGTTAATGGTAATTTATAAATATATTGTTCATCTTTATTCATAAATATATTGTTCATATTTAATTCATGTTTCTTCATAATACATTAACAAATGTTCATTTATACAACTTTAAATAATAATGATAATAATATAGTAGTATGTGTGTAAATTAACATTAACCAACACTACTGTGTGTGTGTGTGTGTGTGTGTGTGTGTGTGTGTGTGTATATATATATACTGTATATATATATATATATATATATATTAATACAATATAAGAAAATTAATTTTTCAAACAACATTTATAAAGTTACAAAAGATGTCTATTTCAAATAAATGTTGTTCATTGAACTTCCTATTTATCAAATAAATAAAATAATTGAAAAAAAAAAGTTAAGATGTTGTGGATTGGTTGCTGTCGCAAGGTGTTCGGTGTACTTTTTAGAGCATTGTTACGTGGATGCTAGGGTATTCTGTGTGGTTTCAATGATTCTTTGCTTAAAAAAGACCACCGTCAAGCCTCTACAATATTCTGGTCTCTAGATATGACTTCAGTCCCTCGTGCAGTGCCCATCTACATACATTTTTTGCCCATTTTACTGTTCACAAGAAGAAAATCACGTCTGCTTAGCAAATAAGTATCATTCATGTAGCACAAACACATTTTAATACTGAGAGCTTTCTTCAAATCCCAACCCTAAGCAATAGAGCAATAGTGCAAGCAGCACTAACTACAGCTGCTCATATGAAGCCTGCCGGATCGTGTAGTGTGTTTCTGTCCATATGTTTCCTATCACAGTCGTATATGGGCCTGCTGAAGCCTGCAGTCGGAGCGGAGGGAAGGGGACAGGCTCTCCACTGGGAGAACTGGAGGTCTGTTAAATATTGTCACAGGAAGAGAGGAAACTGCTGCGGAGACAAACAAATACACAGCAGGAGACTGGTGTATATAATTAACAAGGAAGACAAGGACAGCTCTGTGCAGTGCTCAGATCGGCTTGAATTCATGGCTGAACGGGTCTGGCTTTCAGCCGGTTGAATTCAATGCAACAGTACGACTGGTTTTGCTTGCATATATATAGTAGAAATAAGTGTATGTGGCAGTGTAAAACAACACACAGACACACACACACACACAGTGATCATGAGCGGGTGATTTGGAGAGCTCTGGCCCTCTCCAGCGAGGTCATTAATCCACTCCATCCTCTAGAGATCCTATCAGTGGGGGAGGGAGCATGTGTGTGTTAGAAAGAGAGAGAGAGAGAACTGGGAAATGGGGTGCTGTTTTATTCTCTAATCTCTAGAGAGAAGAGAGAAAGAACCAGGATAAGATAAGAGACGAGGGAAGTAAAACCCAGTGCAGATGAAAAATTGTTCGCCGTCCAAACCTCTGTGTGAAAACATACGCAAATAACTCCACAAATTGCACATGCAAAGTTGAGCGGGGCAAGAACTGGACTGAAGCGGTTTCTAAATCAAGATGGCATTAGGACGTACAGTAGAGCTTGTGGTGTGTGAGAGGCTGCATTGTGTAGCATGGATATCAGCAGTAGCAGTAGAGGCAGGACTGCAATGAGATGAGCACACCGTGTGCTGTGGAACTGTCCAGGGTGCTTAAAGCCAAACTCTACACATTTCAGCACAGGCCAGGTCTCTGCACAGTTTGAACAGAGGGGAAAATAAAAGCTGGAGGCACACTGGTTCACTATTATGTAGTTAAAACTGTATCAGAAATTTTCACTAATGCAAGGGCAATTCAAAATTGCTCAAACAAATATATACAATCCAAAAATACATTCATTTTATCTGTTGTTTCTAATTTTACAAATAAATCTTTGCATTTGCACTCAGCATTGCAAGATATATGTGAATGCATTTGTGGATGGGGGGGGGGATCAAATAAACACCTACAAAATGGCAAAATCTTGTTTCAGATTTACTTTTGGAAGCATTTCACTTTTATAAAAGAAATATTAAAATATGATGATTATTATTATTATTATTAAACTCATATATAAACAATTCAAATAAACTGGTCATTTCATTTCATGAAACACTTCATGTCTAATAATAATAATAATAAATTATTATTATTATTATTATTAAAGTCATATATAAACAATAACAAAACTGGTCACTTTTTTATGTTTAATAATAGTAATAATACTACTACTACTAATAATAATAATAATAATAATTATTATTATTATTATTATTATTATTATTATTGTTGTTGTGGCTGTTGTTGTTGTTGTTTTTAAAACATATGAACAAGGCGTCAAAGTGTTTTTTGTGGCACATTTTTTATTGTTTATATATGACCTGTATAATAATAATAATAATAATAATATTTATTATTAGTATTATTATTATTATTATTGTTGTTATTGTTGTTGTTGTTTTTTAAAACATTTGGACAAGGCAACAAGTGCTTTTTTTCTGGCACATTTTTTTAAATTGTTTATATATGATCTGTATAATAATAATAATAATAATAATAATAAGTAAACAACAACAGCAACAACAACAACAACAATAAGAATAGTTATTATTATCATCATCATCCTCTTGGTCTTAAATAACCAATTAAAATAAACAGTGTTTCAAACTAATTTCTACCATGAAAAACAAATCAGAGGTGTTGGACTTTAAAGAAGGGCTGTCAGTCTGTCTGCATCTTGGGAACACATTAAAATCCCTTGGACTTTTGGATCATGCAAATTTGTATTTGCAACCAATTCTTCAAAATGGCTGAAAAAGCACCTGCCTCATGAATAATACTGAGAGGTGCTGCTAATATGCGTGTGTTCAAATCTATTGTAGATCTAACACGTCTACAACACATGAGCACAGTGTTTCAAGAGCCTTTAAAGAAAATCTTTTTCTACGGTTGCTATTTCCCTGTGAACTGATCTGAAATCAAGACAGCCAATCAGACCGGAGCTTGCTGTTTGTGTGTGTAACCAGATGGTCAGTCGATGGTTCATTGGCCTGAAGCTGAGACTAGCATACAGCGAGCAACCAGTCCACACTTGCCATGCAACTCGCTTTAATAATCAGTGGGTAAAAATAGTAAAGGCTAGTTTAAATAGAGAACAAGAGGGTTGGAATGTAAATTATAAGGATAATTACTGAAAGCTGGGCAGTTCACCGGAAATAAGGAAGCAAAGCTCTATGGCATATACATTCACACTGCATAATTATGAAAACTAGTGAAGGAGTGAACTGCACTCCAGAAAGCAGCGCTACAATCTGTCTTACACAAATATTGGCTGCAGAATATGACATAAGGGTGAATAAATGATGTCTGAATTTTGATTTTTGGGAGAACTATTCCTATAAAGAACGCAGGCTAGTTAATTTGATGGAATGTAATATTGAAAAATAAACATGGAGGAAAATAAAAAAGAGGGTATTTGACAGCAGTGTTTAGTATCACTTTTAGTATCACATGGTTAGTATCACTAAGAAAATATTATAGTTTTTATTAATATTTTGAATTCGTTTTTATTTTTATATTTTCATTTGAATTTTAGTTGAAGTTTTAGTCTGTTTTTGTCATTTTTAGTAGCTGTAGTTACTTTATGAATTTTTATTTCGGTTAGTAAATTGAAATGAGAAATGTTGCTTTAACCCATAAAAATTTGTTTTCAGTTAGGTTTTAGTTGGTTCGGTGATGTTGAATAATATTTATGACTTGACTTTTCAATGCATTCAGGTTTCCTACAGTTATATAGAATTGAAAAGTTGTGAGAAGAATTCTATTCTTTTGTCCCTCTGTCTTTTATTCCTGTCTCAAAGGCAGCTGTGTTCACAAGTCCCTGAGGAGCGCCTGCATTCACAAACATGAACACACTCTCTTGCTGTCTCACATGTACTAAACACAAACAACATATATGCATAAAATAAAGGCTTGAATACAAGAGCTGAAAGAGCAGAGAGTGAATCAGCAGATTCTAGCATAAGCACAGGGCTGCCCCGTAGCCTGCCTGATTCCAGCAAAAACATATCAATGATTAAAAGCCTGCAGTCGTGTTTAAGGTATAGTGTTCTGATGTCAGCCACAGGCAATCAATCCTGCTTTCTCGTACATGCACACACACATCACACACAAAAACGAAAGATGGGAGCAGTGTTGGGGGTAACGCATTACAAGTAACGCGAGTTACGTAATCAGATTACTTTTTTCAAGTAACTAGTATAATTAGTTACTTTTTTATGGAGTAACGCAATATTGTAATACATTACTTTTGAAAGTAACTTTCCCCGACACTGGATGGGAGGAGAGAGAGAGGTAGACAGATGCTCTGTTCCAAAATCTAGTGAGCTGCCTTCATAGGCAGCATGTTAAGGCATCATAAGGCGCAATCCCCACGCAAAGCCTGTTCTAAAATATAGGCAGCTTAATTATGATGCCCTCTAAGATACATCATTTCAGCCACATTTTCCTTTGTGGAAAAGGAAATCCCAGAATGAGAGGAGTACGGGATATTTGTAGAACTTCACTAGACAAAATGTATTTATTTGGAATGCCAAACACAAACAACACTTGAGTTATAATTATATAATATAGTATAATTATAATATAATATAATATAATATAATATTAATATAATATAATATAACATAACATAATATAATACACAGTGCAATTAAACAATACAATTATTAGAGTATAAAACTACATCAATATATAATTAACAAAATTTAAATGAACATAATATATCATACGTAAAACCACTACATTTAGTGATGTCTACTGTGATGTATACAATAAAAACATTTGTTTTTAGTCTATTATTTCAGATCTCACGCAGAGATGGTTTATTCAAAGTAATACATTTAATTCCATATGAAAATTATATTTAATTGAAAACTAATGATGATGATA